AAGGCTCAAGAAGCCACTCGAAAGCCGGAATACAACCATAGTAGCCACGCGAACTCATCTGTTTTCTGCACCAAATACTTGTTCGATCATTGGCCCTATAGGTTAAAAATTTCGTAGTACACCCCGGGAGGGCTAAAGCTCATGAAGCTATCCAAAGCTGAGATTCACAGCTATAGTAGCTACGCGAACTCACCTGCTTTATTCGGAGGCAACAAGTTTGACCGCCGGCTCTATAAGTTAGAAATCTAGTATTTTTCCTCTTGTAGGCAAAGCTCTATGAGCATTAAAGCAAAAACCGAAGCCTAAAAGTGACCATGCGAGTCAACTGTTCCATCAAAGTAGCCAATACAACCACCGGTCCTACAACAAAGTTTGCAAGTCACCTTAAGCAGGCAAGGCTCCCAAAGCCCCGAAGACAAAGCTAAAACCTAAGTGACGATGTGGGATCAGCTGCTTCATTAAGGCAACTCACCCAACTGAACATCCTAGGATAAAGTTTTGCAAGAAATATGGCGAAATAAAAGGATGAAGCAAAACAAGGAACGCCATTTATTAAATTTCTAGCAAATTGATAAATCGGCTTGAAGGCCAACAAAGTTCAAGCAAAGCAGAACAAAAAGGAAAAAAAAAAGAAAAGAAAACTCATAAGTCTAAGCAAAAAGACTACTCCTTAGTAGCTTGCGCAACCACTGGTTCCTCGACTGCCATGCCTTCAGCAACTGCATTACTCCCAGCAACCAAAGCTTTCATCAACTCATCCTCAGCCACCCCTGCCTGGATAGCCTGACTCTCAGTTGCACCTCTAAGGGCACCCTCAAATGAGAAATCAAGAAGATCAACGGGATAAATGGAAAAAGTCTCGAAGTCCTTCTCGGAAAACTCATAATCTGACAGCTTGCCCTGAAGATGGTCTACATAGCCAAGCTTGTAGAAATCGGCCTGACAAGAGGCAAGTGCCACTTCGTGACCAACTTCTTCATTCTTTAGATGCACATTCTCCTCAACAAGCCCAATGTGAGCACCCTGTAGCTCATCCAATTCCTTTTTCAAGTTTTCACTAGCAGACAGCGCACCTTACAAATCCACCTTATTGGACTCAAGCTTACTGGCAACCTTATTGAGACGACACACTTCAGCATGCATGAAGATAAGCTCCTCGTCTTTGGCAAAGCAAGCAGATCGTAGCTCCAAATTGACATGCTTAAGGTCCTCAACCACCAGAGAAACACAACTGACTTCCTTCTCTACAGCTTCCAACATCGCTTGAGTCACACTAAACCTAGCATTCAAATGGGCGACCTCTTGATGAGTGATCTCCAGCTACAAAGAAGTAGGGGTAGAGACATTAGACCCCTTCAAAATGGCGAGTTCAGATTTGAGTTTCTCTATCTTTTCAGCAGCCGAGCGAAGCAGAGCCACCAACGCCACTTCTGCCTCTTTGGCACACTTGACAACATCCTAATCAACGTACATAGTCTTAGATGCCAGGATCAAAGTCTTGTGGATTATAGCAATCAGGAGGACCTCCTCGAGTAGGCAGGACGTTTCACAAAGGAGTTTGAGCGGATGATAATTTTCCCAACACTGTCAACAAACTTGGCTCATACATTGACGTCCTCGAGCAGGTCACCCTTCAGCACCACAGAAACCTCGGGAAAATCTCTAGCCTCAGACTCAATAGATCTCTCACAACTACCCATGCGAGCAGATTTCCCTTTCTCAGCAGACGAGTCAGTCATAGTAGAAGAAGGAATAGGCTCAGGTGCCACCTTAGCGGCAGAATCCACCTTCTCGCTCTTCCTAGCGGTGAACCTTTCATAAGCGAATCCAGACTTACCTTCTGATGGATGTTTCAATACAAACCTGGACACCTGAGGCGTCACTGAACCATTCCGCTAGGCAAGTCTCTCAGCAATGGATGCGGTCACCTTCGGAGTAGCAGGTATCACAGGCTCAAGCTCAACGGTCTTCTTCGCCCCCTTGGGGGAAGTTAGATCAATGACAAGCTTCTCGACAGCAAACGAGCTCCCACGAGCAGTAGAAGAAGTCATTGGCTTATTCTCAACTGAAGGTTCACAAGCAGGTGAGGAATACCTTTTTTTTCACCATCATTGGTAGCGGGCTCTACAACAACGATCGAGTGAGCCAACGCCTCATCCTTTATTCACTTTATCTCTTCATTCAGAGGCAGGCCACCTTTGTCCCGACGAAGAGGGTTGAGCACCAAGCGCCACTCACGTTACTCAGCAGGAATGCCCAAGGCGACGTGCACCTTCTTCATATCTGCCGAAGTCCTTGGAGTTTAGCCAAACTTAGAATCTACGCAAAGTAACAAATACGAACAATAAATTGAAGTCATGGAGTAGCTTAACAAAAAATTCAAGCAGGACAAGAATGAAGCAGTTCACTTACTGCTGATAAAGGTAGTTGGGACACGCAACTCAGGAGAAGAGTCAGACTTCCACTCTTCGCTCACCTCTAATGTGTCTCTCGCCCACTCATGATTGCCTTTGCTAGAAGCATCTAGCAACCTATGGCGAGACCTCAGCTGCCCCACACCTTCCTTATGGTCGATCTCAAAGAAGTACCAAAACTCATTTATGGCCAAGCGGAGATCAATGAACCTGCTCAAGTTTGAGAACCCCGCCATCGCACGAAATGCATTTGGGGAGAACTGAGCAGGTGCGCATTTCATGGAACAAATCACCTCCTGAAAAAAGTGGTTTATGGGAAAGTGAATCCCAACACAAAGTAGTACAGATGGAATTTAATGGCCTTCTTCCTAGTAATAACGCCATCGTAGCATGGTTCATGGCCGCTGTCATCTTTCACCCACTTCATGTGAACCCCTGACGGAATTGCATGCTTGTATGCCTAAAGAAAATCCCAAAACAACTCGTCGTAATTGATCTTGACATGTGCAGCCTCGAAGTAACCCACCTTGCTGAGGAACCACCTTGACGGTGCAAAGGTGGAAAATATTCGTCACTTTTGGTATCGGAGGAAGACATCTTAAAGTCCTTGCAAAAAGCACGAGGAAAAATATTTAGAAGGCAACTCGCGAGAAGAGATTAAAAAAAAAAAAAAGGACCGTAATCCCAGTGCCCCCACACCAAGCCTCACGGCCCTCATGCTCTCTCTTGTGCCCACGGCCCAAGCCGTTCCAACCCAACATAGGGGAGGCCCACGCCTCCTTCCCCTCTTTCTCCCTTGCCCAGCGCAAGTCAAAGTAGACCTAGGCTTCTGGCCCAGATCACAGACACCAGCAGGACGCCAGCAGAAGAAAATTCAAATTTTCTTACCTTGGTGCGGCACGAAGAAAAAGAAGAAGAACGAGAAACGACTCTTTGCAAGAGCAAGAAAATAAGAACGCTAGAGGAGGGGGAATATAAATTTCCTCTGGCTTCTCTTTCTTGTTGGGATAATAATTGTTCTCCAAATTTATTTAATCCCCTGCTTAAGGCATAATTAAATAGGTATTGGGAATAATTATTTTTCTTTTCCTAGAAGAAGTCTATCTCCAAATTAAGAAAGAATATCAAGTTCAAATTGGGCAACAATTCTACAAGCCTAAGCAGCTTGGGATTCCTACACCTACTATGATTTTCCTGCATGCAACACAGTAGGTGTGGGGGCATTTGTGGAGCCTAAAATAATCCCAAAAATCCTAGAGGCAACACGTGGACTTTTATTCCAGAAAGACAAGATTGCCCTTAATAAATGGGCAGGTTTTCAGATGCTCCCACGCGCAGCTCACATCCCTGAAGCTGTCAGCAGCTAAATATGAATGCCCATAACTCACCTGCCCTTGGCAAGGAATTAAAGATAAGGATTAATTACCGAAATCCTATCTTTAATACATTCCCATTTGAAAATCAACTCCAATCAAGTAAGTAATCCTAATTTAAATCAATTAGGGATAATTACTCCATTATCTGAAGATATTATTTTCTATTTAATATCTTTGGAATATGTAGAGAATATTTCTCCATTAAACACTATGGCCGGCTCTATCTCTATATATACCCCATATTCTACCAAATTTTCAGAGCTTGATCGGAATGAGTCTTAACCATATGCGGCCATGCTTGCTGCACAGGACGTGTCTCAGAGATGCAAGGTCATCCTCATCTCCCATTAACTACGTTCATGATTAGAAACTGAATACTATTGCCAGCCTGAATAGGTTATGGTTGATTTGCTAGCAAATGATATAGTTTAATCAGTAAGATGAGTTGACTTTCAATTCTTAACAGGAACATAGAATTACTGCTCTTCATATTAAGCTCCGTGCCACTGGAGGCAACAAAACCAAGACTCCTGGTCCTGGTCTTCACTCTCCACTACGGGCCCATGCTCGATCTGGAATGAGGATTGGCCGGACCGATAAGCCCTTTTATTTCTAAAAGAATGTTTAAGATCACTATTGCACGACTATTGCATGAAAAAGAGTGCAACCTATCCTCGTCATCGTTTTAGCCTAGGAGATTTGGTAGGGGTTTCTGTTGTGAGATATAGTAATGTACCGACTGAACCTAGAACGATTTAACTTTGTATGCCAATCCTTTTATCAGTGGTGGTCTTGAATCATTCTTGCTTCCTCTTTTCCAGAGGATGCAACTCCAATTCCCACTGACAGCACTAGAAGAAAGGGTGGCAGAAGAGGTAGAAGACTGTAAGCGACTTGCATATGTTTCTTCTCCGGCGATTTTATACATAAATCTTGGGGGCGGATGTAGTTTATGGCAGTGTTAGCATTGAAGAACTGGAATGTTATGTAGTTTTTGTCCTCGCTAACTGAGCTTTACGTTCGAAGAAAAAAAAAACCAAGCTTTACGTTAAGAATATGTATTTACAGACGGGTACGATTTTATATGCTGCCTTTTCTTTTTGATTTGTTTTATAGGCTTAGAGCATAATTCTGTTTTACTTGCCATCTCGGATGAGTTTATTTCTCTGTACTGTTTAACTTTAGGACGTTTGGCATTAAGGAAAAACAATGGAAAAGAAAGTGAATATTTTAGTTGGTTGACCATAATCATTTGTAGGAACATGCCCTTTGAATACATTAAGGGTAAATTATTCGAACAGAATTAGAAGAAAAAAAAGGATAGAAAATTGCTTGAGCAGAACATTGAACTTCTGGTTAACAATTCTGTCCTCATGGCTTGGGTGCAAGTCCAGCCTTGAGCTTTTGAATGGTGGCAACATCCGTCTTGAAGGAGATAGCCAAGACATTGTCATCAACGCCGGTGGCAAATAAGGTGTTAGGTATTGATACAGTTCCTGCATTTGCACTTCCAAAGGCAGACACTGCCAGAGCTGGGAATTGTGGATCAGCATTGTACTGAAAGTGTGCTAGTCCCTTGGGAAATACAAAAAGATCACCTACTTGAAGGGTCTGTGTAAAGAGTTTGTTTTTGGTGTCAACAAAACCGACTTCGAGGGTACCGTCAATAAGGAAAAGGAGTTCAGCGGCGCGAGGATGAGTGTGTGGTGGATTGGTACTATTAGATGGGAATTCGAGGACGGCGTATGAAACACTCTGGCCATTGAGAGCAGGGAACTCAGCCATGGTTGCCTTTAATATCTTGAAAGCCGTGGGAGGGCCGCCCCCAACAAGAGCGCGAAATGCGGTGTATGTGAAGAAGTTGCCATCTACTGTTCCGTTTGGAGGAGCAATGAAGTCGGTAATAATGTCCGGGTCTCCGGCCATGGCCATTTGGACAAATGCGATTGAAGAAATTACTAGTGAAAAGAATTTGAGAGCTGCCATAGTTGGAAACTTGATTAAATTGTAGAAATATTCAATATTGTGTTATTAATGTTTGGTTGTCGGATGAGATGGTTGGCCACAAGGGCAAAATTTATAAGGTTCAGGGTTGAATGAACCCTAAAGAAAACGTGGTGATAGGGTTTGTCCTGTTGCTGCAGGCCTTTCTGATTTCAAAATTGGAGATGAAGGTTACAATGTTTCTTCTTGTAATCGAAGTTCTACAGATGTTTCTTTGTCATTTTATGGACAAGATCATGCCTAAACATATTACAAATTTTGCTCATTTCATCGCCAATAAATATTAAATTCCTAGTGCATGCTCAAATTTGACAACTAAACCCGATCAAGTTAACTTTTTTGAAGGGATCTTACCTTAACGTTTGAAAGCAAAATGCCAGAGAAACAAGTCAAACACCTGAGCCAAAAATTCTAAATCAAGCATTTTATACTGTTGTTTGTGCCCAACGAGAAACAACTTTTTAAAAACCAAGAAGAATATAGAGATAAAAAATTACTTGTGCACACCTTTTTTTTTTTTTTTTTTTTTTATGCACGCTCTTGTCCAAGGTTGGTTGCACTAATATCGCTTAAGGTTTATCGAGTTTTCAAAATCCCCACACATTTGAGACATTACACTAATACCCTTTAGGTTTAATTCATTTTCACATAACTCATTCAGTCAAATTGTGCTAATAAATTGACAACTTTACCCTTATAACTAATTAATCAAATAATAAAAAAAATATTAGTAAAATGAAATATTAAAAATAAATAAACACTAACTGCTCCACTAACAAAGTTAGCACAAATTTAGTTTGGTTAAACAGGTTTGGATTGGTAGCCGATGGACTATTACAATTTGGTTAAACAGAATTTTCCAAAGGTAAATGGTGAAGGTGATAATTTGGCTAAACACCAGAGTCATAGAATTAGCTCATCTAAGGAGTCTTGAAAATATGGTTAAACAACAATTTCTCCTTTTTTGGCTGGTTATTTATCCTAAGTCTCTGCCGGTGAAGAATTTTTTATTCTTTTATCGAACGACATCATTGCATTAGCTTTCTAGGTGAAGTGGAGTGTTCTATAATCGGATATTATGTGACATTCATAGCTCGACATACCAACGGCCAAACCACTTTTACTATAAAGACACTGATCCACTAGTACATAACAGCATATTTACCACATCAATTCCATCACGGGCATCAACAGCTCGTGGTGGAAACTATTCAATTACCACGGTCAAATGTAACTCGTGGTAAATAACATTAATTCACCACGGTCAGATTCTGGCCATTTGTTAAAAGTGAATAATCTACAACGGTTTTTAATCCCGTGATGGAATATTAAAACCACCACGCAATATGCTTGTTGTGGTTACTTCAAACGACCACACCGCCTTTTGAAAATTCGCCACGCCATCGGCCCGTGGTGGATGTTTTTTTTTTAATATTTTGGAGGATATATTAAATCTAAAATCCCAATTATTTCCCCTTGTATGAAACTGGACTAAAACCCTAAAAAGAAAACGTCAATCCTTTTGTTTCTCCATCTCTTCCGTCTCCGGCTGATCTCGGTTTGGTCGTCTCTCCGGTCATCTCTCCCTCAGTCCTTTTGTTGTATAAGCACCTCCAACGTGGGAAAATTATTGAATGAAAAGATTTTTCACGAATCTACCTTTATCTTTATTTTGGTTTAAGGAAGAAAAAAAATCCACCAATCATACAAGGGACATTAAAAAAAAAGAACTGATCATCAGAATTTTAATTGCTAAACAAAACAAAGAAAAAGGGTTTCACCCTCAATGAAACTATGAACTCACGGCTCAAGCTCAAATTGACCCAATCACCACATTTTCATTTTTAGTTATAAAAAAGAAAAGAAAAAAAAGAACAGAGGAGATGAACGGTCTCCTCCCCCCTCCAACCCAACCCTTCCCTCCCCGACGTCTTCCCAGCCATTCTTTCTCCCCCAAAACCCAGCCTACCTTCTTCCCCAAACCCCAAGCCATTCCTTCTTCCCAAAACCCAACATTCCTTCTTCCCCAAACCCAGCTTTCTTTCATTCTCAAACCCTATCTTCAACGATTTCTTTATCTCATTTGAGTATCTTTATCTCTACAATCTAATTCTAGTGTGAGGGACCTATATTCTCACTAAAATAGTTGAGGATGCCGAACCTAGTGTAAGGGCCTAGAACTTCGTTGCAAGTTACACAACCTTGTCTTTAGGTTATAGAATCCAAGGCCGAAAGTGTTGCTTCCTCGACCAAGGTCACATGATTCCGGAGTCGGAAACACATTCCATCATACCACCACATTCAAAAGTATTTGCTCGGCTAAGATGGGTAGCAAGTTGACATGTCGACAGCAATCAACCATCTAAGGATATGGTTGACTCATTAAGTTACTCGACTTACGTGCGTCGTACATTGTGTAATTTTTATGGTCAACAGATTTATAGAAGCACTCAAGTACTAACTATATATATACATAATATATATATATATATAAAGTCAAGATTTCATATAAAGTCATGAATACAATAGTACCACTAGTAGAAAAAACAGCTAGTGTGACAAACAATATTTCGTCGCACAAGACGTACTTGGGCGACAGAAAAAAAACTTCGTTGTGTAAAGTAGAAATGATAGGGAAAAAAAAATTGCACGACGAATACTTGTTGTCATCGCGTAAAGTCAGAAAGAAAATGCAGGGTAATTTTTTTGGTGCGAAAAACTTGCGCGACAAAAATGGGGCATTTGCACGACCAACGTAATATTTTTTTGTAGTAACTAATGAACAATTATTTTTGTTAAAACGTAATATTTTTTATATTACTAATTTATTGTTACTGGCATTAATGTAGGTTCATTGGGATGTTGATGAAATTGATGAGAAGCAACGGATTTATGTGGATGGGCTTTTCAAGCAGAGTTTTCGACAGTGGAAGTTTGATGTGTTGCGGGCGAGGGAAGATTGAAGTTGAGGAGGCTTGCTTCTTTTTTTTAATAAGATTTTGTGTACTTTATATTTAATTTCATTAATAAATTTATGTTATGTGGATGAGTATTAATAATTACATTAATTATAATTTCTATTTGGGATAGGAAATTAGTTTTGTTAATTAATTTAATGTTTAATTAGGCTTGAGTTTTTTATTTATAATAAAACAAAAATTTACAATACATACAAATAAAATATAAAAACATAAAAATAAAAAAATAAAAAAATAAAATATACATTGCGCGACGATACATGTTTTTGTCACGCAATTTGTTGAAAAGAATAAATTGTAAAGTAAAACAAATAAAATAAAAGAATGGTAAACTTGGGCAACGAATGTTTCTTTTTTTGTCGCGCAAATAACATTTGCGCAACAAAGACCATGTTAGTCACTAAAAGGATATTTGCGCAACGAAGACCTTGTTAGTCGTGCAAAATCAAAAATGAACCTTTTTATTTGGATTTAGCCATGTGCAGAGGCAAACTGCAAAAAAATTGTAAATTGTGCCTTTGCTCTCATCCTTGTGATTGTGCTTAATCCGACATCCGTCATTTCCATTTTCTCTCAATTTCATCATCTAATACTTTCTCCATCTTCTTCTCTAGGTTGATCGAGCTATCTTAGCGTGTCTGGTAAGCATTTTTTGTTGTTAGGGTAAAAGTATTAATGTAAATTCATACTAACGCCATTAATTTCGTTGTCTATAAGGATATTGTGTGTGATTAGCGATATGTGGAGAACGATTGAGAAGTTATTTTCGTTTAATTTTTTTAAAAACATAAAATTAATTAAATTATGTTGAACTTAGTTTGTTATGTTTATATTGTGTTGTGAAATTATATTTATATTAAGTTGTTAAATTTGTACGTGACGTACAAATATGTGTTGTACGGAGTTAATTGAAATTAACTTCGTACTTGTTTTTTTTTATTTTTAGTAAAACTTAGTTTCCCATTTGAGGATTGGTTGGATTTTGCGCATGGATGCGAAAGCATGACTGTGGTCTAATTAATTCTTGAATTGTCCCATTATTTGGATAGTTTGGGAATGCACAGTTATGACACGTAGTTTATGGTTGAAGCATTAGGTTTCGGTTATGGAGATTTTGGTGTCATCTCTGTACGTTCTTCGAGTGGTACATAGGTATTTTATATCTACGTCGTACACCTGAAGAACTGTATTGAGATGATGCCGAAATTCTTCCACGTCAAAATCTAATGTATTGTAGCGGTAAATTACGTGACATGACTATGCATTCCTGAATGGGATAGGGCCCTTACCGGAGGTATAAGGTGACATTATCATTTTGTATGAAGTTGTTGTATTATTATTGTGGTTCCAGGAATTATGGACAGGATGTGGATACAGAACCTGAATAGATGTGCGGACAAATACTTGGATGGAGTCGAGGATTTTATTGACTTTGCACGTACACACAACCCGGGTGCAACTAGAATCCGGTGTCCTTGTAGGAGGTGTAACAACACGTTAAGGGAAACAATTGAAAATGTTCGATTTCATTTAGTAAGGAATGGAATGATTGAGACATATAATACTTGAAACCATCATGGGGAACAATTAGACAATGCTTCGTCTTCAAACGCCACAAGAGTGGACAATCTTGAACCTATTGTGGATCCTAATGAACAAGTCATGGATATTATAAATGATGCTTTTTCATTTGTATCAACAAACACCAATCAGGAAGGGGAAGATGACGTGCCTACACCAATGGACAGTGCAAAGTTCGAACAATATGAAAATTAAAAAATGCCAACCAAGAGTTATACCCGGGGTGCGAGAGCTTTTCTATCCCCACGGCCATTGTGGAACAAATGCACGGAAGAATAAAGTATTGTATGTCGAACCAGTGTTTCGATTACTTTTTTGGGGTTTTCAAGAGAATGCTTCCGAAGGACAATTGTTTGCCGAAAGACCATAGACATGCGCAAAAGGTGTTGAATGGTCTTAGTTTGGGTTATGAAAAAATTCACGCTTGCAAAATCAATTGTATTTTATTCTACAAAGGAAAAGGATAAAGAGTTT